AGGTTCTTGTCTTAGTATGGCACAAGTTGTGGATAGCTTGTTGGGTGTACGAGTTAACCATTAGGTGGATCATTTGTAACGGTATTTGGGTGTACGAGTTTATATATATATATATATATTATATAGGTGGCAAGATCACCTATCACATATATAATATGTCGTACCTAGTAGCCAGAACACACTTCTCGGCCTACTATGCAAGGCCTGATTTGCCTAATAAGCCAAGTTTTCCTGAATTAATATATTTTCTCTAATTTTTTTCTTATGAATTGATAAAGCTACCAATTTCATTATGTATGAGGTTAATTTTTTTTTATTGGAGTTAAAATTAACGTAGATATATGACCGAACCTAACCAACCCTACCTAACCTAACCTATCTTTATAGGTTAGGTTAGGTATGGTAGCTGAAAAAGTTAGGTTAGGTTAGGTTAGGTAGTCGAAAAACAACTAATTCATGAAAACTTGGCTAATAGGCAAATCGGGCCTTCTATAGTAGGCCGAGAAGTGCGTTCTGGCTACTAGGTACGACATACAGTATATATATATACTGTATATATATATATATATATATATATATATATATATATATATATATATATATATATATATATATATATATATATATATATATATATATATTATTATTATTATATAATAATAATAATAATACGTTAGGTACATCTGCATTTGTGCAGCTACCCTAGACTATATGAAGGGGAGTACAATGTGTCAAAAAAGCTAGCTATGTGGTACTAAAAAATCCCCATCACACAGGATGGTTAGTCATACAGAGGCATGTGATAAGTACTGTAGTCTGCACTGGCAGACTCTGGGTGCATTATGAGGATATCAAGAGTGAATAAGGTAGCAGTGATACTAAATGTCCCCATCTTGCAGGATGGTTAGTCATACAGGGCCATATGTTCAGTAGCCTGCACAGGCAAATTTTGGGTGCAATATGAGGATATCTTCAAGAACATGAGAGTGAATAAAGTACAGTAATTACAAAGCTCCAGGTACCTCATACCAGTGGGGTCTGAATGGTCTAATAACTGGGCATTCGGTGATGTAGAGTTCCTGCTCACAGAGTTTGCACCTGGAGTGCTCAGGATTGGGAGATCTGTCACCTGTAGCCACCTGCCACAATTAATGGTAACCCAACCTGATCCTGGCAACCACTGTGTCGCACAGTCTGGTGGACGTTTTGTGCTGCCCATAGATATAGGTTTCAGATCTGAACAAATCATAGCTTTTTATACTGGTGCTTTCAGGTCTTTGGGAGTAAGTAATTTCTTTTTTATTAGACCTGAGTGTTTGGAACAATATAGTTTTGACAGCAGAGATGGGGATACCTAGATCTAATTCAACTTTATCTTTATTACACGCTAATTTGGCTGCAATGTCTACCTCATTATGATGGGTTATATTTGTGTGATGGTATCCATAAAAAGGAGATTCGAAACCCTTTGCTCTGTGCAGCGGTTAGGTCATTTATAATTGGTAGTATGAGGTTCTTGCTGTCGATCTTCCAGAAGTTTTAAGAGCAGACTTTGAATCACAAAATATTATTCCTCCAATGTTTTTTAATGTACTGGTAGCTAGTTGTAATGGCGCTAGTTCTGCTTGTGTGGAGGTCAGCCAGTTGTTTAACCTGACACTGACACTCTGTGTGCAAATATTATTTCTATAAAACCTACATGCTGCAGCAGTCTGTCCATGAGTTAACTATTAGGTGGATCATTTGTAGCATTGTTAGTTGACTGTCTGTGAACATTGCAGTTGTCTTTTTAGCTTTGTTTTTTTTCTGGGGATTTTATTTCTTCATTGAAGGTGATCACAAATCCTCTGCTCACTGTACCTCTGTGATGTGAAGACCAGGTTTTTCCCTCTGGTCTGGTAACATTTTTGCATTCTGATGATGCTAAAATTGAAGCATAATATTTGTGCAATATAATCAGCTGTGCTTTTATGTGGAAGGTGTGGAGTGTGGTGGAACAGTGCAGGTCTGATATGCTACACCTACTTTGTCCATTCTTTATCTTCCGAGCTTTGAAATGGCTTCAACTTCAGGCAAAGACACAGGTTGCTTAATCTCAGTGTTTTGATCTTAATGTGCATTTAGAATTTAAAACCAAAGGATCAATTCATGAATGTTTGTAATAAGGTAAATAGGACACTGGTATTTTTTAATCGAAACGTTAGTAACAAGACACCTGGTGTTCTTCAGCTATATCTTGATCTGGTTAGGCCCCATTTAGATTATGCAGTTCAGTTTTTGTCAAACAAAATAAAGTCTACTCTGTACAGGACAATGTGTCGAAATTATCTATGGTTTATTGTATGTGTGTGTTGAGAAATATGCATGGAAAAAAGTGGCAAGGTGAACACTTCAAGTTGGCTCACTGTATCTGGCATTATTAAAAATGTCGTGATAATCTCATAATCTACCTCACGTATCTTATCTTTTGTTAGTCTTGGTCATTCTCACCCTCCCTCATTTTCTTTCAATCTCTCTCTCTCTCTCATTCCCACTCTGTCACTCATCCTCTATCTTTCATTATCTTTCTCTTTTGCATTGTTACTTTAGTCTTATAAAGTGATGTAAATGCTGGACTCTGAGCAATATCCAGCCCTTTCTCTTGATTTGCAACGTTAACAGTAAAGGGTATTAAAATGCACACATCCAAGCCACCCCACCCACCTAACCTAATCAACCTAAGCATTGAAAATGTGGATATATGTGAGCTGCTACTTTTCATATTACCCTTTACAGTACAGTATTTGTATGTTGGGGTCCCCTAATGTCCAAAATGTGATGCAGCATTAATTAAGAGGATGGGTTGAAGCCATAGAAGCCAGAAAAGATTACTAATGAGAAATGAGATGGTGACAATATTTTCCAGGAATGCAAGATACAGTACTGTATCTGGTTTATAAAATATCCGATAAAATGACATGGAAAAAATATTTTTTTATATATACAGTACTCAGTATATATGCGCGACCAAATCCAATTCGTTGCAGTGAGGGGACTCATTGCAACCAGAGATGCCTACAGGATGCATCTCCCATTTCCCTATGGACTAAAATTTCACTTGGCAAACTTTTTGTTTTAGCCTCTAATAGGCTGAAATAGGCTAAAGCTACCAAATAAACATGTCTACAACTAAATTTAACTACTGCACTGCGCCAAACGACAGATGCCATTCGCCAATTACTGCGCCAACCGACAAAAGTATTTTTTATTTTTCATACATGGTCGAAACGCGCTCGCGGTAGGTTGGGTATGGAATGGACTCTTGGGACCTCCAGTGAGAGGCAGCCATCTTGGAAAAAAATCCCAGAATGTCCTAACGCTGCTGGCTGGGTTAGTACTGAGTGAGCAACCATGGGTGGCGCACACGCCTCTGGCTCCCAAACACCTGTCCGACGCGGTGTTGAAAGATCACTCTCTGTCGTTGAAATTCAGACCCTATTGCTTGAAGAACATAAGGGTCATGATATTGATGAAGCTAGGCGCAATAAGGACCTAACACAAAGGTCGGATGCAAATGATACAGCACCTATTAGGACGATACAGTGAGTGTATCCAGTTAAAGTGCTGGGCGCCACCCTTGCCCACATGCCATCTCCAATTTATGTGATACATAGATGAATTGTTTTCTGGGTTCAGTGATAATGCATCTGATACAAGTAGCATAGATGAAAAGTGTTAGCGGCTTTCATGGTAGTGTTTTCCATAGATATTTTCAAGAATAGCTGAATCTCTTTCAGAATGCCTGAATCTCTTCTAGATTGACTGACACTCTTTGAAAATGGCTGAATCTCTTCCAGAATGCCTGAATCTCTTCCAGATTGACTGACACTCTTCGAGGTTGGCTGAATCTTTTCCAGAGTGGCACCTTACAAAGTGATCTTTTCATGACTACCTTACAAATTGATCTTTTCCTATAATCTTTTCAAGACTACCTTATACTTAACAAGCTTGGCTACATAACACCCACAAATACTAAAGCCAAACAGGAAGCGAAAATCTATCTGTACCTGGTGCAACGAGAGCGAAGTTACACTGTTCCATGGACTACTTCGTTGATTATTACTCACTTCCGAAGTACTGAGTGTGTAATACAGTGTGTTGCTGTGTAAATTGTGTGTGAAACTGTATATATTGTAATTTTAGTTAATTTTTTACAAGTAATATTGCGACAATAAACATTTATTGTGGTCACATTACTGACACATGTATCACAGTTCCATGGAACATTATGAATGTTCTATTGTATACATACTGTAAAGGACACAAATGTGCATCATATACGATAAAAAATAAAAATAAAACTGCATTGGAAATACATAGAATAAATAATTGAAAATATATTTGTGGCAACTCACGGTGCTTGAATGGCCCGCGCGACCGTGTCTGGGTGATTCATGCACGGGCGACCAGCCGTGATGACGTCACAGCGCACCTGGTTCACGTCCCCCACAGCCAAAGTAAGTGGAATTTGGTATTTATTTTTACATAGGCATGTTCAGGGAAGGGACTTTAAGAAAAAATAATTTTTTGGGAACACTTGTTCATGCACACAGGGGGGAATGTCACAATAAACTCAGCGCATCACAGTGGTTAACCACATCTAGCTTATTTCTCACATCTCCAGCTGGAAATAATAAAGAACCATAGAGTTTTTAAGTATGCTCAGTGGCTTTCCCAAGGCCCCCCAACTATTTCTTGTAATGTTGGCTTCATCTGTGAACTCAGTCCCAACATCCTTAGCAAATCTACACATCCCCTGCTTCAGTGAACTCTTGTTTGTCGAATTTGGCGAATAAATCTTGTATGGAAAGTGAGTGTTCCAACAGGAGATTTGCAGAATCGAGGTTCATTCAAGTGACGATCTACTATATATTTACTTTGCACACTGTATGTATATTTTTAAGGTTTGATAATACTTTAAGAACATTATGGACAAATAATAGTCTTAACTTTATTTTCAGGTTGTTCGATTCGCCTAAAGCCAAGCCTCACAATTCGGACTGGTTACGGAAAGATGTAGATGATCCAGCATTATTACTGTCTCGAAAATCCCTTATTAACAAGTTAGATCAAATTGCAAGTAAGTATTCATCATATCTGTAGGTTCCAGAATTTATGGAAAATTAAAAGTACAACTGGAATGTATTGATCAGGGAAGCTTTGAAAATTATATATACTGGTACTATAGCAAATTTCAACCTTAAGTAAAACCAAGTGTAAAACTTCTTAACAGTGAAATAAGCTTTGTTAGGCTGTAGCCTAAAAAAGGGAACATTAAGTAGGAAAAAGGAGCCATTATAGAGAATCTACATTACAGTGGATGTTGGACAACAGTGGCAAACCATGTTGAATGTGCCAAGAGGGGTACAGTGTGTGTGTTCTCAAGATGAGAAAGGAGATAGACCGTGAAATACATTGGCTCCACACGAGTGATCATCTATAACCTGCATGTGATATTGTGATGTGACCCCCTACCCCCCCAGCCTTTGTTAAGTCCAGGCGAGCATAATTTGTCTTTATTCAGAAACATTATGTACAAAGGCTTCACCCAAGTGGACAGCCATGATCTGCATGTGATATTGTACAGGGTATTGCTAGAAAACTCTTCCCCACATCACTGACTTGTTTTCCAGTGTCTCCGCACCATTCTCCCCGTCATTCCTTCAGCCCCTGCTCCTCATCAGGAGTTCTGTCTCCGGAGTCCCCGCCATCTTCAAGGGGTAAGCACTTTGTGTATTTAGTTACTAACCCAGTTGAATTTTTTGTTTGTTTAATTGGAATGGTATGCAATGTAGAGCTTCAATTGCTTGTAAGATTTGGATGTACTGTATTGATAATACAGTATAGTCTATTGTATCCATATTTCGAGACTTAGATTATCTATTGGATTACTTGATAGCTTTCATACTTATAAGGGGAAATGTTTGGTATAATGCAAAGTATGAACAGTATTAGCTGCATTACATATTGGCTTTGTTATTACTGCATTGTTCTGTAGATATACTCACGTACAGTACTGTACTGTAATGCCTAGTTTTTTCACAATTGATTTCCTTGTGATTTTGCTTAGTATATAAAAGTATTAAGGAAAATTGATTATGTTTTTATGTACAGTACTATGCAGTCGATTCCCATTTGTGCAAGGTGTGTTGTTGTGGACTGTTTTTATGCACGAAAACAATTACAGTACTGTACTGTAAAACCATTTACACCAGGCATGTCAAACATGCGGCCTTTTTCAAGCACACCTGCGGCTCGCACAATGGATACCGTAATTTGGTACACTATAATTAATATAATATAATAGAAAAAATATTCTGCCATAATTTTTATTAAATGACTTCAATTAATTTTCGTGTGTGGCCCTAATGATAATGTAAATGGGATCCATATGGCCCTTGGGGGACCCTCAGTTTGATATGCCTGGTTTACAGTATTGATTTAATGTAATCAATGATCGGTTTTGCAAGCTGATTCAAGTCTGTGCAGTGAATGTTATGTTTTTGTAAATCATTGTCATTTACCCCTTAAACTGTGGGTGTTGTTCCAAATTCTATTCGCCCAAGTGGAGAGCAAGGGGCACTGTTTGTTGATAATGTATTTGTTTGTGCACTGAAGTTGTAGTGTTGATACCACACTGTTGTTGGAAGTAGTGTTTTTCCTGTTTTATTTTATTTTAATTTAACTGTAGAGCAGATTTTATTTTAACAGTAATGCTTGCATGTTGGATGTCATTAACTAAAGACTTGTGTAAAAGGATTGTTTTTATAGGTGTTTATTAGTGCATTAATGACTACATCACAGTAATGTATTTCAGCATATTCTTGGCTATAGACCTTTTGCATGTGATGTCACACAATCACCTTTAGAAGTCAAAGGACATAGCATGCCTATTATACAGTATTTACAGTGTCAGATAATGGTAGAAACCTGTTTTGTGAGGTTCTAGCACTGAATCCAATAATTGCCATATTATGACAGATTTACATTTCTTGGACATTCTCAATACTGTACTAGAATCGCCAATACAGCTCGTCGCTCTCATTTGATAATACAAATTGCATTTGATAATTTATTCTCTGATAACTAATTTTAAAATTAATTTGTAATCATAATTACAAAGTATTTGAACTTTATTCCTATTAAAAGTTACGGAAATTGAAGCACCTGGTTGTTATACAAAATGTCTTGATGGAAATTGAATACAGTACTCTGAATGTTTTAGTTTAATAATAACAAAGAGGAATCATACTCCTGAAATTAAAGTTTACAGTATTTGCTCCTATTGGGGGGAAAGTGATGCCAAATGAGCTTGTCCTCACTCTGGCCAGCTCTCTCTGTGGCTGTGTGTGATGCTGGTAACTAATATTTCCAGCGGTATTGGCAATACTGTTACTGGAGTTACACATCCTGAATTGGTAACTTCATGACCATAGTATTGAGGTAAAATTATTATTGGCTGAAGAGAGCACAAGTGCCAACATCAGTGCAAAGAAAGGTCAAGATTATTGTAGGCCATTTTGAGTTAACGTTCTTAAGCGTTAAGGCTTTGTCAAAGCTGTTATTATACTGTATTATTATGATCTAACAAATGAATGCTAATATGCATTTGACTGAATTCCTTTTATACTGATGTTTTCATTGTTGATTTAGGTAATTGCTTTAGTTGAAATGCTAAATGAGATTTTGCTTGTGATTTACTGTACAGTACTGTACTAACAAAAGTGGTTGTGCCTAACATCGTATTATAGTGCTGATGTGTGAACTGTAGAAATGGAAGTGATGAGTTATGCTTCTACTTCAAAACTTCCAATTTCTACACTGAGGTATTATAGTAAAATGGGCCATTTTAGCTTAAAATAAAAATGTATATTACATATGAAAAAATTTGAAGGTGGTATCAAAGAGCTTCATTCAAAACTTATTACTGCAAGCATCTTAAGGTACAAGTTGAACTCTAGATTTGAGAATAATTTGATAATATACAGCGTGTCTACATAATCCTTAACAGTATTGAATCACAGCATTATGTCAATACAGAATGCTGTGAGTGAAAGCTGTGAAGGTTTCATGTGGACACCTGGACAAGTAAAATGTGATTGTGATCAAGGCAAGATTTTATAATACAGTAATTAAGATTAAGTTAATTAACAAGAAGGGATGAAGTAAAATTGGTAGGAGTCATTAATGATGAAATGAAATAGTCTTCAAGAGTTCTTTTGTATAGAACTTCAGAGATCTAGTCATAAAATTGTAACATTCAATGCTGTTTATATTTTCTGTACGTATTAGGACATTAAACAAAATAAGAGTTTAAGTGTTTGTCTTCTTAAGAAGCCTCAAATGCTTGGCTTAGGTTGAGGTTATAGATGTCAGGCTTCCCTGTGATGGTCTGTGGGGATGGGGCGGTCTCGGTAGTACTACAGGTGTTCGTTCTCGACTCACAATTGGGAATCCCAGGATCATATCCCAGGCGGGACAAAAATGGTTAGGCACATTTCCTTTCACCTAATGCCTGTATTCATATGGCAGTTATGAATAATTATGAAAGATTTACAAAATAATAACAGAAATCTACCAAATTGACAGAAATTCCTGAAAACAGCATCTTCAAGAACTAGAGATCATAGATTCAAGCTAAGGAAACAAAGGTGCCATAAAAAATATTAGTAAAGTTTTCTTTTGCAAACAGAGTGGTAGATGGTTAGAACAAGTTAAGTGAGAAAGTGGTGGAGGCCAAAACTGTCAGTAGTTTCAAAGCGTTATATGATAGAGAGTGCTGGGAAGACGGGACATCACGAGCGTAGCTCTCATCCTGTAACTTCACTTAGGTAATTACACTGGTAATTATGCATACACACAGATTGCTTGTCCCCTGACAAAAATGAATTATTGAGAAAATCAGTAGGAGCCATAAGGAGGATACGAACCTATGCGTCTTCCTAAGGAACGCCTTGGCCCACTTTACCATGACATTGCAGACTTTCTATACTACAAGCCATAGGAGCATTGTGTGGAACCCTGGTTAGGCTTCAGTGGAAGCCTCAGGAACCCTAGAGGATTGAGTTAAATCCTAGATTGCAATGCTTTTACCATATCGTGGTGAAGTGGTCTAAGGCATTGCTTGGGTGTTCCCAGAGCATAGGTTCGAATCCTCCTCATTGCTCCTGTTAAATTTCTCATTGATATATCACAGTAATGTGATTTCTTTGTGTAAATGAACTATTAATAACTCTTGTAAATGGAATAAAGAACAAGTGTGTGTAAAATACACACTGGAGAAAAATTTGGACAAGGCTTTGTTCCATCTTTAATTGCAGAGGGTGAAGTGAAGCATCGTAACATTTTCTTCTCCAAGTTGTGGATTTGTGCATATATTAGAGAAGATAATTTGAATAGTGTTGTGTTCAACCCTTGATAATTGAGCTCAAATGTCTATCTCTTTGTTTATTTCTCATGCGAATGTAGAGTTTCATTTTTAGCTTTGTTGTTAATGTGGTCAAATGGTAGCCAGCTTCTCGGATACTAGTGAAATAATATTCCTGCCCCCCTCTGGCCTTGAGATTTTGAATGCAAAGTTACTCAGGCTAAATCTCTCTAACTTAGCTGGCATGTGACTGATTATGATAGCTTAGATTATAATCTACAGTTTTGTATTTTTTTTTTATTAAAGTGAGCCCATTTAATTATGATACCTCTCTCATCATGCCCTCTTGAGTTAACACAGCTTTGTTTTGGAGTGATTTGCTTTGACCTAGCATATACTTTCAGGTGAAATAGACACGAGAACTTTTGTGAGACCCAAGAAGAAAAGGTCTCAAGTATTTGGTGATGCTGTAAATGATGAAAACAGGAACTCTTTACTGAGGAGAGGTTTGTATAAATGCTTTGTAATTGATTAATGTTGCAGTGCCATACAGTTGTATTGCACATGATCTACAGACAAGTGGCAAGGAGACATACTTATACTAACACATTCGTGACGGTGTGCTCCAACTGGTGGTACACGTAAGAAATGATATACCATTCCTACTGCTGTATTGGCAATATTGATCCTGGGAAGTAGACAATAGACGTTTAAGATGCATTAGAAAAAGTACGCTGGACATAAATGTCTACGTGGTAAACCCGCTGTGTACCACCGGATGAGCGCGCTGTGGCGAACGTGTCAAAAATATCTTGGTAACTGTGTCATCATTAGCTGATATAATTTTTACTTTTCTGCTGGTCAAGCATTGAGTGAGTAACTTTAACTTTATTTTGAATAATACCACATAAAACATTTGTGTGCTATGCTTGTGGCTATAAAAGCTAGAGTTTTGTAAAGACAATGTGGATGTCTGTACTGCAGTACGTATAGCAAAGGCATTTTTATCTTTGGTAATCTCGCTTGATCATGTTGGCCAAACATCCCTTCCCTGCACACCCGTCTCTCGCCTGTATAACTTTGTTCTGTCCTCTCATACCAATATTAGGGTAAAGTAGCCCATCTAGGAGACACCCTAGAATGAAACCTCAAAAATGCCATGAACTCTCTGAATGTATAGTACAGTGGTACCTCGGAATACGAGTGTCCCTGTATACGAGTTTTTCGGAATACGAGCAGGATTTCCTCGGGAAAATGTGTCTCGGAAGGCGAGGGTTACCTCGGAACGCGAGTTTGTTGATGCACGTTCTGGCCGACCTAGTGTGTGGTGGTACGGCGATCGTTGCCCCTCCGCCTCTCAGTTTACCATTGTCTCGCGCCCAGTGACTATCCCACATCAATTCTTCACCCGGATTTTCAGTGTTTTGTTGGATTTTTTGGTCATTTAACTATACAATTTGTTATTATATATCTCACTATGGGTCCCAAGAAAGCCAGTGGTAAGGATCAAGGCAAGAAAACCCATGTGAGGATGACAATAGAGGAGAAACAAGAGATCATTCGGAAGCATGAGAACGGTACACGTGTTGTTGAACTTTGTAGGCAGTACAACAAAGCCACATCAATAATATGCACCATACTTAAGAAGAAAAATGAGATTATGAGTGCTAAAGTGGCAAAAGGAGTAAGAATAATGACGAAACAAAGGCCACAAATACTTGAAGAAGTGGAAAAGTTGTTATTAATTTGGATACACGACAAGGAATTAAGGGGTGATAGTGTTTCGGAGGCCATCATTTGTGAGAAAGCCAGGGTATTGCACGAAGACCTTCTAAAGAAAACCCCTGCAATGAGTGATGCAGATACGAAAGAGTTTAAGGCAAGCAGGGGCTGGTTTGAAAAATTTAGAAAAAGAAGTGGTATCCATAGTGTTACAAGGCATGGGAAGGCAGCCAGCTCAGACAAACCAGCTGCTGGACGATTTATTGAGGAATTTATTGAGGCAAAGCGCCTTTAAAGAGTGTTGCAGAGGTCCTTGACAATGAGGGAAAGAGTTTGCAGAGGCTACCTACCGCAACAAGTGTTTAATTGTGACGAAACGGGACTGTTTTGGAAAAGAATGCCTAAGAGGACATACATTAACAAGGAGGAAAAATCCTTGCCTGGACACAAGCCTATGAAAGATAGGTTTACGATTGTGCTGTGTTCAAATGCGAGTGGCGATTTGAAAATTAAACCCTTGTTAGTGTATCATTCTGAAAATCCAAGGGTTTTCAAACAGTATAAAGTGCAGAAAACCCATTTGTGTGTGATGTGGAAGGCTAATAAAAAAGCATGGGTGACTAGGCTTATTTTTTCGGAGTGGGTGAATGAAGTGGTGTGCCCTGCCATAGAAAAATATCTGCAGGAGAAACATTTGCCACTCAAAGCTGTGCTTCTCCTCGACAATGCTCCTACTCATCCTCCAGGCTTGGAAGATGATTTGTTGCCCAGATACAATAAATTCCTCAGTTAAATTCCTTCCTCCTAACACCACTCCTCTAATTCAGCCTATGGACCAGAAAATCATAGCGAATTTTAAGAAACTTTATGAAAGGGCACTTTCCGGAAATGTTTTGAAATGACTGAAGCCACAAACCTCACTCTCAAAGAGTTCTGGAAACACCATTTTAACATTTGTAGTGCTTTAAAACTCGTTGACAAAGCCTGGCAAGAAGTGATTCAAAAAACCCTGATCTCTGGCTGGAGAAAATTGTGGCCTGAATGTGTGAGAGAACTAGACTTAGAGGGGTTTGAGCCTGTAAATGATGCGCCTATTGTTGACGAAATTGTTACTCTGGGCCGGCAAATGGGCTTGGAATTGGATGATGATGATGTGGAGGAGTTGGTGGAAGAACACAACGAAGAACTGACCACCGAAGAACTCCAAGCCCTTCAACAGGAACAGCAAGCAAACGCAGCTGATGATTCTACAGTGGAGGAGGATGAGGCAGTAGCGAATGTCCCTTCTGCAGAAATTAAGGTGTGTCAGATGTGGGAAGAGATTCAAATAATTATTGAAAAGACTCGCCCAGTGAAAGCTATAGTAGGCTGTTGCCTTAATCTTTTCAATGACAATGTGATGCCTTACTACAGAGACAGCTTGTGAAGAAGGGAAAAGCAAGCTTCCATGGACAGATTTGTGGTGAGAAAATCGAGCAGTGAGCCACAACCAGGACCTAATGGCACTCAGATAAAACGTGCCAGGGAGTGCACACCAGAAAGGTCCTCACTGCCTGATGTGATAATGGAAGGGACTCCCCTTCCAATCAGTAACTCCTCTCCTCCCCCCCCCCCCCCCCCCTTCCTCACCATCTTCATATGCCTACAACATTCAACAACAAGGTAAGTAATAACTTGAACATAGTTTTGTAGGTTTATTTAGATGAATTTGGTATAAAAATTTAGTTTGATGTGGGGTTTTTGGGGTACTGTAGTCAGGAACGGATTAATTTATTTCCCATTATTTCTTATGGGGAAATTAGCTTCGGAATACGAGTTTTCGGAATACGAGCTGTCTGCAGGAACGGATTAAACTCTTAAACCGAGGTACCCCTGTAGGTTGTGTATTTCGCCATCTGGAGACCAGCACTGGGGTGTCCAGAGACCTGGATGTACGACGAAACTTGGGACGCCACAGATAATTTACCTCTTCCCTAGTATTATATATATATATATCATCCATTTCAGTGTCATTTTATAGAGAACTCTATCTCTTTTGATTAATATCAGAAATTTTACAATAAACCTGTTACCATGAAACTTATTCCACAAATACTTGTCGAATACCTGTTATGAATCCGAGTATCAACGTCCTTGAGGCCCAGTCTCTGACCAGACCTCCTGATTGGTGGTCTGGTTAACCAGGCTCTTGATGTTATAGAAGACTGGCAACTTTACCCTAATCACACTCCTCACATATTTTGTGCATCCATCCCAGTCTTACTCAATCCTTCCCCACATATTTTATCTTTCCAACCCAAATTTAGTCACTTGACCACTTTCATTCACCTCATTTGAACGCTATCTAATTTTATTCCTCTTAAGTCCATTACTCTCAACTTGTTTTTGACAGCAGAATGCCACACTTTATTTTATTATACAATATCTCTTTATAAAATATCCTCACTCTGTAAGGCTATATATTATTTGTAGTATATTTTAGATACTGTAGCTTACAGCTATGGCTTGGGTTGATAGCTGCTAACTAAACCTGTATCCTTTGTTTAACCAGTAAATGTTAGTGTAATTCTGAATTACTGTATGACCAACCTCTTGCTCTCGGATCATTCTCTGTGTATCGTCAGACCAACCTCTTGCTCTCGGATCATTCTCTGTGTGTCGTCAGACCAACCTCTTGCTCTCGGATCATTTTCTATGTATCGTCAGACCAACCTCTTGCTCTTGGATCATTCTCTGTGTATCATCAGACCAACCTCTTGCTCTTGGATCATTCTCTGTGTATCGTCAGACCAACCTCTTGCTCTTGGATCATTCTCTGTGTATCGTCAGACCAACCTCTTGCTCTCAGATCATTCTCTGTGTGTCGTCAGACCAACCTCTTGCTCTCAGATCATTCTCTGTGTCGTCAGACCAACCTCTTGCTCTCGGATCATTCTGTGTTGTCAGACCAACCTCTTGTTCTTGGATCATTCTCTGTGTCGTCAGACCAACCTCTTGCTCTCGGGTCATTCTCTGTGTCGTCAGACCAACCTCTTGCTCTCAGATCATTCTCTCTCTCTCTCGTCAGACCAACCTCTTGCTCTCGGATCATTCTCTCTCTGTCGTCAGACTAACCTCTTGCTACTAGATATATTTCTTGCCCTTTGATCAACCTCTTGCCTTCATATCATGTTTCATAATAGAATCCTTCATAATAGGACCAATTGCATTTCCTCTTTTATATTTCCTTTAACTATTGTATTCATATTTACATATATGTTGTCATGCAAAAGTTTATATACAGTATGTATGTTTTCGTTATGTACCTGTGCTTTCTTTGATAATTACTTACTTGTTCCTGTACCTGGTACTTAATAAAAGCAAATGCAAGTTTATAATTTTCAAACATTAGCTAAAGGTTAAGAAGAAGCATTTCTAACACTACTGTATTCTTATAGTTTATATAATAAATCACAATCATTGTCATCTCTTCAAATCACCGAGTGTGCACCAACCAGAATCACACATTATTGTTTTAGAGGTTTTGTTTGCTTTTAATTACTTAAAAATTGTTTAATTTTGTCACCATCTTCCAATTCTGTCGCCAGCTTCCAATTCGGTCGCCAGCTTCCAATTCTCTCGCCAGCTTCCAATTCTCTCACCAGCTTCCAATTCTCTCACCAGCTTCCAATTCTCTCACCAGCTTCCAACACAGTCACCAGCTGCCAATGTTGACACTTCTTATGAGAGGCTAAAACTGTTGGTGCTGCTTATATTCTATTTCTTCTCCACATACTACATTTTGAAACCTGACACCATATTTAAAAGAACAAGCAAGCTTAATTTTGTGTTCCCTAAACGTTGAAGTATTTCATGTAGCTTGGTAGAAGTGTTTTTCTGAGCCCCTTTACATAGGAAACAAATTTCAGTAAAAATAACCAATATTTCTGTAGATTATTATGAGTGACACCATAGAGATTTATCAAATAACAATTATATTAACAAGAATTCTGTTTTGGCAGAGGGCAGTTCCCGTGAGTATCTGGCACGTTCCAGCGGGTCCCTGGGATCGGAGGAGGACGACCGCCTGAGCTCAGCCTCGGAGGGGAGCTTCTCGTATCACTTTGCCGACGTAGCAGATGTCAATGCTCTGGCTCGACTTCAAGAGGAAAGTCAGTATGATGCTTGCTTGGTATTGCTGGTGGTTGTATTAAAATGGAAGGTATGCTGGGTGATTGGAAGAGGGTGGTAGACTGGTTGAAGGGAAAGGGGACAGTAGACAGGGTGAAGAGAAAGGGAACAGTACTGTAGCTGGTTAGAGGGAAAGGGACAGTTGACTACTTGGTGGGAAGGGGAGAGTGGACTGATTGGTGGGAAAAGGACAATAGACTAACTGGTGACAAAACAACATTAAACTCGTCGGTGGGAATATATGACAGCACCAGTTTTAAATTACTAATATCATTCAAAGCCAGAACCTAATTTTTTAATTGACTCATGATCTCAACAATATAGGGTTAAATACTTTAAGAACAAAGTCATAAAGTAGTCATACTTATAAAAATTTAAATTTTTCATAAAGAAATATTATTACTATAACACATCAGTGAGTGTATAACATTTGCATGTAATTTGGATGTAATATCAATGAATGTCATTAAATCCTTCCCAGGGTCAGGTCAGTCAATTTCTTCAAACATTTGCTTCGTTAATATAGACAATTATTTGGTGTTGTAGTATTCCTGCTCTCTCATGGTTTGAGGCTCTGGCAGTTTTCTTGAGACAACAGTATAGTCTACCCTTGCCATGTGCCAGTTTTATTCGCTGCTTTGGTTATTAGTTGGTAGCAAAATAACCAAAATACAGTGACTGATCAGGGCAGTCGGAGAGCACTTACTTGTCCACTTGTCGAATCTACACCTCTTACCTTCATTATGGTACCTTATTCAGCATTTGCTTAAAATCTTTTACAAATTCTAAAATGCTATGAGATCATCTTCAGTGGAAGAGTATTATTGTTGTGCAAGACTTCACACCATTTTGGTGCTTGTAGATCATCTGATAAAGGCAGAATAAGCTACTATGTACTCTGTAAGATGTACAGATCCCATAAATTGACAAGTAGGTGCTTCATAAATCTTGCCTGTAATTAACCCTTCAACTGCTCATCGCATCCAGGGATGTATTAAGGTGGCCCATTTTATTCAGAAGTCCTGCATCTAGGGAAACGTCATATTGGAAAACAATCCAGAGCTCCATTGTCTTCTTCCAGAGCTTTAGTAAAAAGATGTGAACCATGTCTGGCACATCACCATCCAGCAACTAAACATGCAGGATGGCCATGCTAGAAACTGTTGGTGCTATGTAAAATTACAAGGACTTTGATGGACTTAGAAGATCTTTATGATGAAGAGGAATATATAACAAGTAGTGAACATGATTATTATCCCTCAGAATGTGCAATATGCTGCTCTGATAGCAAGGGAAGGATATTTTTTACAACAATATCCAATTCTGCTGAAAACATAGTTACAACATAAGAGACTATGAACAAAAGAATATTGGCAACTGGAGAAAGCTTACTGGCCCAAGTGAGGCAGCTCTTTTTTTTTTTAATTTTTCATATTCACATAGCAATACAGCAAACTGTAGAAGCCCTATTGTCTAATATAATGTAGCTCCTATTTCTGGGGAGGAGCCCATTGTGACTCCCTGAAGCCATATACCGAGAAGGACTTCGTCTACCAGGTTGCATCAGCTGTGGAGTTCTTAGGCCCAATGGGGACCAGAGCCAGAACTTGGCCTCCCCTCACAGAGGTGAAGGAAGCAGTGACATTTCACCACCTCACCAGGCAAGGCATGCTGAAAGTTAACAAGTCAAAGCAAATCACTGCTAGGTTCAAGCAGTGGTTTGCTTCCAAACCAAAGCCTCATAACCAGCCTAATGAATGCCCTCCAACTATATAAACAAATAATCAAATCTCTTGAAACTATCATGAACGTGTTTGTCCCTTCTTTCCCACTCATATGAGGGGAAAGGGGCTCTCCCCCTTCAAGAGTCTGGGCTGTCAGTTCTTACGCTGATGTGGTTGAGGTCACTTGACTGTTGTTGTGGTTCCTGGGTCGCCTTTCTGCCATGTGGGCATTGCTGTTCAGCCAAGTGATTTTGGGTCTTTTCAACCTACTGTGTAGGGTGAACCTGGCATACAGTGCTTGAACCTGCATGTGCTCAGGGTTTCCTTCTCTGTGTGCACCCTAGTGCTGCACTTGCATTGCCAAGGTTGTCTTCTCTGTAGTTTTCGGGGGTCGCTTCCTTAGTAGCCTTTCTTGTATGTGGTGATCCTCGCCCAGGGCGAGTTGGGTCTGGTAATGCCCGTCTTAACCCAGGTTGGAAGTGACTTTAGCTGGTGGGACACACTGGTGGTTCATGGGCTTCCTATCAGCATACAGAGGTTGGCCTTCATAGCTGTGTAACCCAGGTTCTCAACTTAATTTTAGGTGCAGTGTAACATTCCCAGTGCCTGGGTGTCTGATTGGCTTACCCTTCTGGCCTGGGTAATTCCCTGCAGGTTCGGTGATCCTATGGATATCACCTCCCTAACCTGCTCTCGCTTTGTGCGATTTTGATGGTTACTCATCGTCAATGCCATGAGACGACGATCACTTGTTTTGCCTCCGTCATGCCGTCTGTTGGGTCAGCGACATCTTTGATCTCGAGTTCTGTCGGGTTTGCTCTTCCCAAGTAGCTTTTCGTTCTGTTCCTCCTGATGAGGTTAGGATGTATCAGACATCTTCTACTTTGAGTTTGCGTTCCTCGTTTACAGCAGTTGGATGCCCCGGAGCTGCCCCGACTGGTGTTTAGTTTACTACATGAAATTTTTTTGGGGGTAAAACAGAAATTCCCATGAACTATTTTTAGATAGTGAAAATAAAAGAAAACATTTGTCCTTGTTATACGATAGACTTAATAGCCTAACTAATTCAATATGGTTAGGCTAAATAGTCAATTCAGTAATACAGTATTGTACATGTACTAGACTGAAAATCTTTCCAGAGCAAAAATATAATTATAAATACAAAAAACTATTCATAAACTGCTTTAATGTTTAGAATTTAGAATGAAGGTGAAAAAGGAACGTGATCTGTCAGTCATTGTACCTACAAGTCCCCAATTACTACTGTACTGTGGTCACGTGGCTTAGGGGTGAAGGGGGTCAAAGAAGCATTACCCAAGGTTTTGATACCGAGTTTCTGTCATCTGTGTGGCAAACGTGTTAATCACCATCACAGGGTACCTTAATTGTTTAGTGAAGGTCTAGTTCATTCAGCACAGTGCAACACCTTTTGTTGTTGGTGAATTCATTGAGAATTTACATATGCCTGAAAATAATACGTGAATCATTAAGGTTTCTGTTTGTCCTCTAAAACAATCATGATTGGCAATTAACCGGACTAGATAAGTGACATATAAAAAAACCGTCACATACAGTAATCAAATTTAAAGTTGTAAGCAGGTTAGTACTGAGTGGCTTGTGTTCAAGGCAAGTTACATAATAAAAATAGAAAATATATAATTTGTTATTTATAAATTACTTTGTTTTATAATTCACTTAGTTTACTGTAGCTAGTTTACTACTACAGTTTACTGTAGTTTACTGTAGTTTAAGTTGTAAGCAGGTTAGTACTGAGTGGCTTGTGTTCAAGGCAAGTTACATAATAAAAATAGAAAATATATAATTTGTTATTTATAAATTACTTTGTTTTATAATTCACTTAGTTTACTGTAGCTGTATCATGTAAACATGTCACCTACATAATCCATTTAAGTATAAGAGATTATGTAGGTGACATATTTGCTTGATACAGTGATTGGAGATGGCATAGGAAAGAGGCTTTAAGTTGCACTATGCTTTTGTTGAAATGAGCAGTCACTCTTTGCAAAATATTCATACTGTATTAAAATGAGACTTGAATTCTAATTTTGTTTTGGTAATACTCACTAACATAAAATATGTTGCTCGATTTAACACTTAAACATTAGTCGTTTACACCCAACGTTCCTTATAGGGAACCGGTCAACATCATTTGTGATATTTGCTAAATGACGAATTGGGGACCCAGAAAAAATTATTAAATGAAGAGAAGCTTACGCACTCTCGAGTGACTCGCATGACATAATTAATTCTCAATTGCTATGTCATAAGTGCCTTTTGTAATGTTAATATTGAGTTGTTCTAGTTAAACTGTGAGGAAAGTGTGGTTGTTATCTCATAGTTGAGTAAGAGATGAAGACTTATGGTATATTTGAGAGATGCACGTTTAGGACAGATGCGGTTTGGTGTGTTGGCACCAGAATGTCGGTATCGCCAGGAGGCCTGGTCATGGACCGGGCCGCGGGGACGCTAAGCCCCGAAACCATCTTAAGGCAACCATCACTAGGGGGCAAAGTAGCCTGGTGCCGTGTGACAGTGACCCAGTCTGTAAAAAGCATACCACAAACATAATGTCGCTTTAAGTCTGTGATTGGCAGACTTATTCTTGCCATTGTTATAGCCCTGATTCTTAGGAATTCAAGCAGAAGACAAAGCAAGAAATTACTGGTTGCAATCTTTACCTCCAAATTATGGAGTCTACAGAGCTTCAACATTGGCCAGTAAACAGTTGCCACCATTGTGGTCATCTTGGAAGGTCCTCCTGAAGCTGTGATCCTCTACTTCAGGCATGTTGCGTGATCCAGCTCCTCATCCATTCCATCCTCCACTTTACTCCACCCACCTCACTCCACCTGAGTACTTGAAGAAGGCCACACATCTCCGTCTTCACGTGTACCTGATACATACGTGCAAACCTCTCACTCTTCATCGTCTTAGAAGTGCAGAAATCATTAAGTGTTCTCTCATGTAGGTTTATGATATAATTTGCATGTTAAAGTGTGTAGTATTCAGTGGGTCTGTCTGTCTGCTCTAAAATGTGTGCTTGTGCAAAAGTGAAAACTATTTTCTGCCCCCAGAATCCAAGGGCTAACTTGCCTCTTGTGCTGCTCATTGACCAAAATGTGCTGTGTGTGTGTGTGGTTTAGAGAACAGCAACTAGTAGCACTGTTATTATGGCTATGGTACCATTATTGATTAAGATGTTGTATGTTGTTGTGTTATATGTAATGTGTTGTGTT